GTTGAGGGTGGGGAGGTGGCACGGTGGTGTCACCAGCACCACCCCCTTGGTGACACGGCGATGTCCCCAAGGGGGTAAGTATGTCCCAAGAGCCATCTTGGTGGACCTGGAGCCGGGCACCATGGACTCCGTGCGCTCAGGACCCTTCGGGCAGATCTTCCGGCCGGACAACTTTGTTTTTGGTGAGTCTCCATGTCACCTGCTGGCCCATAGGGTCCCCTGTGTTCCCCCTACGTCCTCCTAGGTGACCCGGGGGTGCCCATCATGGCAGGGTGGCACTTCTCTTCCTGGTGGTGGCCCTTCAGTCACCATCGCCATGGGGTGGGAGGGGTTTGTGTGGTCCCCAGTGTCACCAGCATGGTGGCCCGTGGGGTCCCAGAGGGGGCTCATGAGTGCCCTTCCCTGTGGAGTGACATACCCCTCCTTGGTGGCCCTTGAGGTGCTTGTCACAGTTGAGTGGCAGGTCCCTATTGTCCCCTTCTTGGTGGCTGGGATCCTTCCCTATGTCCCCAGAGCTGGCCCTACTTTGGTTCTAGAAGGGGTTTTGGAGTCCCCAAAGGGGTCAGGGGTCCCCAAGTGGGGGGATGAGGGTCCTTTAAGAGGTGGGAGGAGAATGGTGGAGATCCATGAGGAACTTAAGGTACTCAGGTGTAGGCTAGGGGTCCCCAAGAAGGGTAACCGAAGGTCCCCAAGGGGCTTGGTGTCCCCAAGGAGTTAGAGGCTTTGAAGGGCCAGCTGGAGGTCCCCAAGGAGGGGGATGGTGGTCCTCAAGGAGCTCAGGTGTGGCCTGGAGTTACCCAGGGGTCAGACAGAGGTCCCTTGAGGTGCTCAGGGTGCCCCAAGGTGGCATGGAGATGGAGAAAACAGAGCGATGGAGGTCCCCAGGGTCCTCAAAAGTGGGCTGGGGATCTCAAAGGAAGATGATGGAGGTCCCCAGGGTCCCCACGCATCGGGTAGAGATACCCAACGAGGGCGAGGGATTGGGGGTGGGATGGATGTCCCCAAGGAGCTCAAGGGTGAGCTGGAGATAGGCAAGAAGAAAAATGGAGGTCCCCAAGGAGGGGATGGAAGTTCTCAAGGAGCATGAAGTCCCCAAGGGTGGACTAGAAGTCACCATGGAGGGTAACAGAGGTCCCTAAGGAGCTCAGGGGTGAGCTGGAGATGGGCAAGAACAGCAATGAAGGTCCCAAGGCTCTTGGTGTCCCCAAGGGTTTGCTAGATGTCTTCAAGGACAGTGACGGAGGTCCCCAAGGAGACTTGGGGTCCTCAAGGGTGGGCTGGAAGTCACCATGGAGGGTAACAGAGTTCCCCAAGGAGCTCAGGGTGCTCAGGGTTTGGATGGACATCCCCAAGGAAGTTGATGGAGGTCCCTAAGGAGCTCAAAGGTGAACTGAAGATGGGCAAGAAAAGCCATGAAGGTCCCCAATGCCTTTGGTGTCCCCAAGGGTTTGCTAGATGTCATCAGAGTCACTGATGGAGGTCCCCAAGGAGCATGAAGTCTCAACGCATGGGCTGGAGGTCCCCAAGGGTGGACTAGAAGTCACCATGGAGGGTAACAGAGATCCCCAAGGAGCTCAGGGTTGGGATGAACATTGCCAAGGAGGTTGATGGAGGTCACCAAGGGTGGGATGAAGGTCCCCAAGGTGTTCAGGGTTGGTTTGAAGGTCCCCAGAGGTGGGATGAAGGTCCCCAAGGTGTTCAAGGTTGGTTTGAAGGTCCCCAGGGGTGGGATGAAGGCCCCCAAGGTGTTCAAGGTTGGTTTGAAGGTCCCCAGAGGTGGGATGGAGGCCACCAGGTTACTCAAGGTTGCTCTGAAAGCCCCCAAAGACCCCAGTTTCCCCCAAGGAGCCCCTCTGTGACATCCCCACCGTGTCCCCACCCCAGGCCAGAGCGGCGCAGGCAACAACTGGGCCAAAGGTCACTACACGGAGGGGGCCGAACTGGTGGACTCGGTCCTGGACGTGGTGAGGAAGGAAGCGGAGAGCTGCGACTGTCTCCAGGGCTTCCAGTTGACCCACTCGCTGGGCGGTGGCACCGGTTCCGGGATGGGGACCCTCCTCATCTCCAAAATCCGTGAGGAATATCCCGACCGCATCATGAACACCTTCAGCGTCGTCCCGTCCCCCAAGGTGTCCGACACGGTGGTGGAACCCTACAACGCCACCCTCTCCGTCCACCAGCTGGTGGAGAACACGGACGAGACCTACTGCATCGACAACGAGGCCCTCTACGACATCTGCTTCCGCACCCTCAAGTTGACCACCCCCACCTACGGTGACCTCAACCACCTCGTCTCGGCCACCATGAGCGGCGTCACCACTTGCCTGCGTTTCCCGGGTCAACTCAACGCCGATCTCCGCAAGTTGGCCGTCAACATGGTGCCCTTCCCACGTCTCCACTTCTTCATGCCCGGCTTCGCCCCGCTGACGTCGCGCGGCAGCCAGCAGTACCGCGCCCTCACCGTCCCCGAGCTCACCCAGCAGGTCTTCGACGCCAAGAACATGATGGCCGCCTGCGACCCCCGGCACGGCCGTTACCTGACGGTGGCCGCCGTCTTCCGTGGCCGCATGTCCATGAAGGAAGTTGACGAGCAGATGCTCAACGTTCAGAACAAGAACAGCTCCTACTTCGTGGAGTGGATCCCCAACAACGTCAAGACGGCCGTTTGCGACATCCCACCGCGGGGCCTCAAGATGGCCGTCACCTTCATCGGCAACAGCACGGCCATCCAGGAGCTCTTCAAGAGGATCTCGGAGCAGTTCACCGCCATGTTCCGCCGCAAGGCCTTCCTCCACTGGTACACGGGCGAGGGCATGGACGAGATGGAGTTCACCGAGGCCGAGAGCAACATGAACGACCTCGTCTCCGAGTACCAGCAGTACCAGGACGCCACCGCTGAGGAGGAGGAGGACTTCGGTGAAGAAGCCGAAGAGGAGGCCTGAAGGTGAGGTCATCCTAGTTCTCCCCCTTCAGCGCCCCATCGTCATCATCCTCGGAGAGCCCTCGTCCTTTCAGCGTTGTCCTCGGAGAGCCCTTGTCCTTCACCGTTGTCCTCGGAGAGCCCTCGGCCTTCAGCAGCATCGTCCTTGTCCTTCATCATCGTCCTCAGCCTTCATCAGTGTCCTCGGAGAGCCCTTGATCTTCATCGTCAGCCTTCGGCAGTGTCCTCGAAGAGCTCTTGGTCTTCACTGTTCTCACCAGAAGATCCTCAAGTCTTCATCATCACCAGAAAGCTCTTGGTCTTCATCATGGTTGTCGTCAGAGCCCTCAGCCTTCGTCATCATCCTCAGCCTTCATCAGTGTCCTCGGAGAGCCCTTGATCTTCATCGTCAGCCTTCGGCAGTGTCCTCGAAGAGCTCTTGGTCTTCACTGTTGTCACCAGAAGATCCTCAAGTCTTCACTGTTGTCACCAGAAGATCCTCGGCCTTCATCATCACCAGAAAGCTCTTGGTCTTCATCATGGTTGTCGTCAGAGCCCTCAGCCTTCGTCATCATCCTCAGCCTTCATCAGTGTCCTCGGAGAGCCCTTGATCTTCATCGTCAGCCTTCGGCAGTGTCCTCGAAGAGCTCTTGGTCTTCACTGTTGTCACCAGAAGATCCTCAAGTCTTCACTGTTGTCACCAGAAGATCCTCGGCCTTCATCATCACCAGAAAGCTCTTGGTCTTCATCATGGTTGTCGTCAGAGCCCTCAGCCTTCGTCATCATCCTCAGCCTTCATCAGTGTCCTCGGAGAGTCTTTGGTCTTCACTGTTGTTACCAGAAAGCACTTGACCATCGTCGTTGGAGAGCCGTTGGCCTTCACTGTCACCAGAAAGCCCTCGGCCTTTGTCATTGTCACCAAAAAGCTCTTGGCCTTCACTGATGTCACCAGAAAACTCTTGACCTTCATCACAGTTGTCCTCGGAGCCCTCGGCCTTCACCGTTGTCACTGGAGAGCTCTTGGCCATCGTCATCCTCAGAGAGCCCAAAGCCTTTGTCATCCTTCTGGGAGAGTCCTTGGTCTTCACCGGTGTCATCGTCACCAGAGAGTCCTCGTCCTTCATCATGGTCACTCCAGTCCTTCCTCATCGTCACCAGAGAGTCTTCATCCTTCATCATGATCACTGAAGAGCCCTCGTCCTTCATCATCGTCACCGGAGCGTCCCCGTCCCTCACGATCATGTCCAGCACCAGAGTCCCCTGTCCCATCACTTGTCACCGACACCAGATGGCCCCGTGTCACCGCGGAGCCACCGGTGTCCCCCCCCCCCCCCCCCTCCCCCCCGGGGGTGACGTCACCACTAAATTATTGCAGCTCCAATTCGCCCCCGTTTCCACCCAAAACCACTCCAGCTGCAGGGGGGCTGGGGGTGGCCCTGTCCCCCGGTGTCCCCCGCTGGGGGCTCTCCTGTCCCCTCCGTGTCCCCTTCCCCCCCCCCCCGGCCCCCTCCCTGGTTTTTTCTTTTTTTCCCTTTTTTTGCTTTTTTTTTTTACTTCCCAGACTGACATGCTGTAAAATAAAATAAACAAGAATTTTGAAACCTATGTTGATCAACACTCGTGTGGTATGCAGAAAATATGTTGTGAAACAAGTGCTTTGAATTAGGACAAATGCAAAGGCTTAGGGCTGATTAATAGCTACTGCAGTCAAAGACTTCTGAGACCAGGTCCTTTCTGTCCCCTTGAGGGTCCCCCGGGGGGAAGGGGTGGCCCCGTGTCCTCACCAGGTGACACTGTCCTGTGTCCCTGTCCCCAGAAGGTCCCTTTTGTCCCCAAACCCCCCCCCCCGACCCGAGGGACTGTCCCTTGTGGACGCAGCAGATTTAATGATTTGGGGACAAAACGCGCACACGGGGGGACACGTCCCCCACCTTGGGGACACGCCAGGCCCCCAGGGGTGGTGGCACGTGGAGGAAGGTGGCACTTCTGGGGGGGTTGGTGGCACTTTTGGGGACAGAGGAGCACCACGGGACAGTGGCACCTTGGGGACACGGTGGCCGTTGTGGGGTGGTGGCACCGTGGGGACGCGGTGACACTGGGAGGTGGTGGCACTTTGGCAAGACGGGGGCTCCAGGGGGTGGTGGCACCGTGGGGACAGGGCTCCAGGGGGTGGTGGCACCATGGGGACAGGGTTCCAGGGGTTGGTGGCACCATAGGGACAGGGCTCCAGGGGGTTGGTGGCACCTTGGGGACAGGGTTCCAAGGGGTTGGTGGCACCATGGGGACAGGGCTCCAAGGGGTTGGTGGCACCATGGGGACGGGGCTCCAAGGGGTTGGTGGCAACGTGGGGACGGGGCTCCAAGGGGTTGGTGGCAACGTGGGGACAGGGCTCCAAGGGGTTGGTGGCAACGTGGGGACGGGGCTCCAAGGGGTTGGTGGCACCATGGGGACGGGGCTCCAGGGGGTGGGGGCACCTGTCAGGCAGGTGGAAGTGGAACTTGGGGGACACCCGTGGGGACGCGGTGTTGCTGGGAGGTGGTGGCGCTTTGGTGGGATGGGGGCTCCAGGGGTTGGTGGCACCATGGGGACAGGGCTCCAGGGGGTTGGTGGCACCGTGGGGACGGGGCTCCACGGGGGTGGCACTTTGGTGAGATGGGGGCTCCAGGGGTTGGTGGCACCATGGGGACAGGGCTCCAAGGGGTTGGTGGCACCATGGGGATGGGGCTCCAAGGGGTTGGGGGCACCGTGGGGCCGGGGCGC